ATATGATCAATATCATATATTACTGGGGTGTGGGTAGTAATTTTTCCTTAATTTTTTCTCTCACTTCCTCCACCAATTCCTAACTGAAGATAACTTGACTAAATAGCATACATCTGCTCATATCTTTCATTATAATGATAAAATCAAATAAATAAATGCATGTATATGTAAGTCTAAGCATCTTGCTTTTCTCATTCAACAAACCTCAAAACTTCATGAAAACTTCTTCAGAGCATCTAGTATAGTGAAAATTCATTCTTTTCAATGACATTCTTTTCAATACCCCTTGGTATGGATATTCTGAACTATATTCACCCATTCCTTTATAAGCCTTCACTTGATTTTCCCCACCACAAATAATGATACAATTAATACATTTGTACATTTAATCTATGTACAAGTACTTTTATTTCTATGAAGTAGAATTTCAGAAATAAAATTTGCTGGGTCAAAGGACACATGTACACAAAATTCTTATTAAATAGTAAATAGATAGAAATATTAATCATAGGATGGCAAAATAACAATGAAACAAATATCTATGTACTTACCACCTAGTTACCTAGTCTCTGAAACCTCCTGGGTATCCCCATATGATACCTCCCCCTTTAGAAAATTATTACTTTTCTCTTAGTTTCTTGAGTTCTGCTATGTTTAATTCCCTACACAATCTATTGTTTTTGACTTGTAAAACTTCATATGAATGAAAAAATGTATTATTTTATTCCTGTTTCTCCTGCTCATTATGTTTTGGCGATTTAAGCATTTTCATAGGCATAACTGAAAGAGTCATTCATTTTCACTGCTGTTTAATCACTCATTATATAAATACACTGCAGTTGATGGATATTTGCCAATACTGCTATGAACATTCCTGAACATGGCCTTTGGTGTACCTGTGCAAGAGTTTCTCTAGTGTATATATACGATATATATACACTGTTGGGTTGTAGGGTATGCCCATATTTAAGTTTATTAGGTAATGCCAAATCATTTTCCAAAGCCACTGTACCAATTAATACTTCTGTTAACAGTGGATAGTGCCTGATTTCCCTGGAACAGTTTTTCAAATGTTCTTTAGCCATTAATTTTCCCTTTTCTGTGATATTGGCCAGTTTAAAACATTGGGTTGCTTTTTTCCTATTGATTTGCAGTAGTTCTTTATATATTCTGGATCAGTTTTGTTCAATAAAAATAAAATGCAAGTCACAAATATAATTTAAAATGTTCTAGTAACCACATTTAAAAAAGTGAAAGCAAAATAAAAATTTCTTTTGTATAGCACAGGGAACTATGTTCAATATCTTGTAATAAACTTTAGTGGAAAAAATATGAAAACGAATATATGCATGTATGCACATGGATGGGACATGTGTTGTGCACCAGAGATGGACACATTGTAATTGACTATACTTCAATTAAAAAAAAAGTGAAAACAGGCAAAATTAATTTTAGTATTTTTTTACTTAACACAGTCTACTTAACTGAAATATCATTTTAACATGTATTCAATACAAATATACAAATTTTTTTTGTGCTAACTTTTTGAAATCTGGTGTGTATTTTTACTAACAGCGTATCTTAAGTTGGCCTGGCTACATTTTAATTACTCAACAACCACTTGTGGTTAGTAGCTGCTGATACTTTGTTGTGGAGCTCTAGATACTTTGTTGTTGTCTGTTGCAGAGCTTTCCTTCCAGTTTATTATTTTTACTGTCATTTTTTTGTCTTTTGATGACAAGGTTTCAGGGGAGTTGAATTTTGCCTTCTTTGGTCTGCACTTTGAATTTTAAGAAAATTTTCCCTATCACAAGGGCATGTTCCAAAGATAGTGTTATTTCAATCAGCCCTCCATGTATATGGGTTCAGTATCAGGGATATATAGGGCTGACAGTATGTCATTTTATACAAGGGACTTGAGCACCTGTGGATTCTGTTATCTGGGAGGGTCCTGGAACCAATCCCCTGTGGATAGTGAGGGAGGACTATGTTTTTTATTTTATTCTAAACCTTTTCAGCTTTCGCTAAAATTCTTATATTTAAGTCTTAATCCATCTGGAATTGATTTTTGGGTAAAATATGAAGTAAGGATCCATTTCTACCCTCTTCCCAGAAGGATAACCCAGCTCTAATATTTTGGTGGCAATATTGTTTTTGTAAATGGTATGTTTTATTGACTTGTACTTTCTAACTTCTAACTGCTAGACTATGAAATGCAGTTGATTTTTTAATCTGGCAAATGTGAAAAAGTGATACAAAAGAATACAAATGAATTTATGTACAAAACAGAAATAGACTCACAAACACAGAAAACAAATTTATGGTTACCAAAGGGGAAAGGAGGGCAAGGGATAAACTAACACAACATTGTAAGTCAACAATACTTCAATTAAAAAAGAAGTATTTGGTCATCCCATCCATATTAGTTTTGAATGTCACTGTAACAAACTACCACAAATTTAGAAAATTAAGGCAACACAAATTTATTATCTTACAGTTCTGCATATCAGAAGTCATCAGTATGGGTCTAACTGAACTAGAAACAAAGTATTGTCAGGCTGCATTCCTTTCAGGAGGCTCTAGGGGAAAATCTGCTTCCTGCTCATTTGGACTGCTGTTCAGTTCCTTGAGTTTGTAGGACCAGGGCCCCACAAAGTTTTCTTGCTAGCTATAAAATGAGTGAGGGTCATTTCTATCTTGTAGAGGCTGTCACATTCCTTGGATCAGGCCCTTTTTTCTCCATTTTCAAAAGCAACAGGCATGTTAAGTCCTTGTCCTTGTTTCTTTGATCAACCAACCCTCTTGCATTCCTCTTCTATTGTTAAGGATTTGTGATTAGACTGGGCCCAGATAATCCAGGATAACCTCCCCACCCCAAGGTCTGTAACTCACGTCACATCAAAGTGCATTTGCTACTTAAGGTAATATATTCACAGGTTCCAGTGATTAGGGAGTGGACATTTTGGGGGGAGCTATTATTCTGCCTAACACAACAACATAATTTGTTAATATGATGAATTATACAGAAAAAATTGCAATACTGAACCCAAACTTTCATTCCTGAAACAAATTTGACTTGGTCATGATTTTTACCTTTTTAATTATTTGCTAGATTTGCTTTTATAGTATTTTGTTCAGGATTATTGCATCTTTATTCAAGAATGAGAATAGCCTGTAATTTTTCTTTCTTGTCCTATTTTTGTCTGTTTGGGTCTGTTTGTCCATCTATCCTTTCCTCATTTCCTTTTTTTCAAGGGAAAATTGATCACTAATTCATCTTTTTAATGCTTCTAGGACCAAATAGGTTTTCCATTTCTCATTGAGTCAGTTTCGCTAATTTGTATTATCTTAGAAAGTTGTCCAAGTTGAACTAAGTTTTCAAATTTATTGGCATCAATTGTTCATTTTTGGTTAATTTTATAATCTTTGCAATTTTCATAGTTTTGTCCTGCTTCTCATTATTTGTATTTTTTCCCTCAATTTGTCAGAAGTTGGTCAATAGTCTTTTAGAAGAACCAATTCTTTGCTTTGTGCATCTTCTCCATTGTATGCCTTTTATTTTTTTCATTAATTTTGTACTTTCATCTATATTATTTCTTTACTTCTACTTTAGTTCTTAAGTTTGACACCTAATTTGTTAATTTAGTCTTTTTTCCCTGTAACATAAGTGTTTACATTTCTAAATTTCCCTCTAATTACTGCTTTAGCTATATTACACAATTTTGCTATTTAGTTATTTTATTATTCTTTAGATTCAATTATTTTGTGATTCCTCTTGTGACTTTTTTTGACCGAGTTATTCATGAGTGTCTTTTTGAAACTTGAAATGTGTTTTTTCCTCCTAGATAGTAATTTCTAATTTAATTGAATGGTGTTCAGAGAATGTGGCCTATATAACATCCATCATTGGAAATTTGTTGAAAATTACTACCTGGGCTTACATGTGATCAATTTTCACAAACATTCCACATGCACATTAGAAGGATACGAATGATCTAATTGTATAGGGCAACACTAAATGTATCCACTAATTCAATCTTAATTATGTTGCTCATATCTTTTGATTCTTGTCAGTAAGATCTAGTTACTATTTTGAAGTGTGTTAAAATTTCTACTATAATGGTAAATTCACCCATTTTTCCTTTTAATTTTGTCAAATTTTGATTTTTATATTATAAGGATTTGTAATTAGGTTCATACGTTGTATAGAATTCCGAAGTTTTTGGGCCCTGACCTTTCTACCATTATTTAGTAACTTTCATTTATTTTTAGTCTGTCTGATGTTAACATAGCTCTACCAGCTTTCTCCTGTTATATAAGCCTGACATATTTTTCTATCCATCTACATCTTTTTGTGTTCTTTGTTTCAAGGATGTCTCAAAAATAGAATATGGTTGGATTTTATTTTCTTGTCCCATTTTATTTTTATTTTATTAACTGGAGAGTTTATTATATTTATATTTACTCTAATTAGTGAAATATTTGTACTTTTTGCCATATTATTTATGGTTTCTGTTTCACTATTTTTTTTCTATCTTCATATCTTGTATTTTAAAAAAAATCTATTTTATATATTAATTTGGAAATGATATACTCTTTTAGTTGTTACTCAAGATATTCTAGCTTGTATACTTAAGAGTAAAGCTTAAAGTTAATCTATATTTTTATCCTCTTCTTGACAATACAAGGATCTTGGAAAACTTCAAATCTAATCATCAACCTACCCATCCCACTTCCAAATTATAACTTTTGTTATTCAGGATATTAGTTCTATCTTGCTTCGTTAACCACACAGATTATATATTATTATTATTATTACTTTTTATGTTAAGTATTTTTTTTAGTTTTAACCACTTATTTACCAATTTCTTCGCTTATTATTTTTTCTTATATCAGAGATTGTGTTCTGTTGGTGGCAAACTTCAGATTTTTTCTCTAAAATGTCTTGAATCAGATAACCAAGTTCAAATCCTGGCTCTACAACTTCTTAGACATGTGACTTAACCTCTGAGATCTTTGGTTTATTCATTTGTAAAACTGAGATAATTTTGAGCAGTTTCATCCTCTGCTGGGGTAGGCAAGGCTGGGAGGGAAGAGCAACAGGAAGCTCAGGAGATGAGTTCTCTGGAAGGGTGCCATGATCCAAAATAAAACAACACTATCATCACTTGCCTGAGTGCTTGATAATCTTGTAGAGAAGACAAGATTAACACGTGTTGGGGAAAAAATTACCTAATAACAGTATTCCTGTATACTTGAGGGTTAAAGTATGCAATTCTTAAGTCAGTACTTTCAAATCCAATGAAATGGTTGGCTTGTCGGAGCTTATCAATGAAACTTTATAGAAGAGAGTGCTTGTGTAGATGTCAGCAGCCTGTTAGCCACTTGACAATTTAGTTTCGATAGAAAACTCCAATGTGAACACTTCAAGAGCTTCTAAAAAAAGTAAAAAAAAAAAAAAAGTAAGGTTTTCAAAAAAGTAGCAAATTACTCATTAAACACCTGATACATATAGCATTAAATATTACAAAATAAAAAAGATAATAATGCTCCTGCCTACAACAAACTTATAAGAGTTGGGAAGGTAAGACATATTATGTAATTGAAGTCAGTTAACAAAGCAGTATGGAACAGAAAAGACAATTATAGAGTATAACACTATATATATAGGAAAGTTCTGGCTTGATACAAATAATGTACGTAATAAGGCTCAATGTAGGTCGTGTATTGTTTTCTACATTCTTCTTAACTTGTGTTGAGACATGTAGATTAAACATGAATAAAAATCAATTGTAATTACACTCCCCTCCTCAAGGTATTCCAGGGCCAAAGAGTGTGACATTTGCAACAGTTAATCATTATTCTAAATTATGCTGCCTTTCTTTTGTATACTGGTTATATCTAAAATAAACTTTCACTTCTGTTGAGCCTCATGTATCTACATAAATTTATCAGGTAGCTAATTTTTTATTGCATGGCTACTAGTTCACATGTACTAGGTACTTACTCAGAAATTCCAAATGTTGAGATGTTGATTATATATATTTCTATCCTATAGAAGAATAAATACACATTTAAACAACTTGATTCAAGTCTTTCATTTATAGAGTAATATACTTTATTTTCAAAACCATCTTTTTCATTGTACTTTCAATTAATGGAAAATAATTATTTTCAGTTACAACAGAATGACATACTGACCTATTAAAACTGAGCAGTAAATCAGCATTAAAAACTGTATATAACAGCTTATAGGCACCCAAATCATGTTTCTATTCTAATGTTAGGATGCACCTGTTTGTAGTCATGATTTTACAGTTAATATGCAACTACCCTAACAGCCAATTTTGGTTTCCTAGAGACCAAATGGAAAATACATTTTTGGAATATTTAACACAATTCCTCTACTCAAAAGAACACTGGACTAGAAAAAGAACAAACTGATGACAGAATTACTAATAGCAGGGAATAGATTCAAGATAATATTTAAATAATCAAGGAAAATGATTAGGTGTCTCATAAATTGTTGTGATCTTCACAAGTCTTGTACTGGCAAGCTAACTTTCAAACATTCAATCTTGATATAACCCAGCCTTGTGTATATTATTCATATATACTCCCAAACTGCCTCTCTGATATTAATTCAACCTTTTATACATTGAGCTGGCCATCATTAACCACAGCCTATAGCCATTGGGAATGGGCCTAGCTCTGCCAACATGAGGGTGTTTGTGGGAGCACATGGGTAGAGATGCGGTTTCCCACACTGCCCTGCTTATGCTGCCCACGTTGGCTTTGTTGCCACTGTCAACCTTGTCCCCTCTTGGGAAAGTAAGGAACTTTGAGGAGTCATAGGACTGAAGGCCTAGGGCTTGCATGTCCTTCCCAAGTTGACATCTCTTGAGGAACACAGTCTTCTGAGAACCCTCACTTGGGGGAAGGATTTGGTGAGGTAAGAATGGGATGGGAAGATGCAAGGATAAGTAGATAGGGGCAGCTTCCCCATTCAGCACCAGCTGTAGGTTCAAGGGGAAACAACCTTTTCTCTCTCTTAGTGCCTTAGCCAGGTTCCCATTTGAGGCAGTGGAGCTTTGGCCTGGACACACTGAAAAAAGGCACCACCCTGTGGTACCTCAGGGCACCTTACTGTCTTGATTTTATTGCCTCTGTGTTCTATCAGCCCTAAGAACTGTCTTGTTAACATATTACCTCCACAATTTTGTTTACAAATACTAGTTTTGGAGAAAGTGCTCAATCAACTGGCACTCTCCCCTCCACATCAGTTAGATTTTTTTCTTTTCCCTTCCAGGTACTGAGAGCATAACTGTGGGCAATCTCTGATCTTTGGCCTAAGATCTCCCCTACGGCAAGAGATGCCCGAGTCAACTTTGTTTCAGGGTCACTATTAGTTACCCTGGGGTCCCCTGAGATGAAGATGCTCTGGGCCTACAGGTGCAGTAATGGCAGGAGCAATTATGAAGTTTTTTTTATAGTTCTAGTGCTCTAAGAATAGAATGCCTCTTATAATGTTTCACTTTAAGACTTTTGACATTTTTCCTTCAAACATAATTATAGAAGTCTTTATGTAAGAAAATAGGAGATGGTCAATATCTAGAAATTATAGTCTAAAGACTAAATTATCCTACAGCTTTGATCAAGAGACCAGGCCCAAGTATGTGTTCTGAGGATGGATTCTCTTTGAATTTAAAATATGTCTACAAAGAACTCCTAGTACAATAATAGATGATGGCATCTAATAGTACTCAATCTTCCACCAATCTTGCCTGTAAAAACTTGGTTCATTTATTTATGTTTGGGGCCTAGTATTTCCCATTGACCCCCATGGTTCGATATGCTTATTGCATTGGGTGGTGACCAGAAAAATGCTATCTTCAGACCAGGTATTATAGAGACTAGCTGCACTTCCTGCAAGAGACCCATTCACTTCATTATTTCAGGAACAGGAAACCTGTAACTGACTGCTTTTTCTCACTCACCTCAGTTTAGGTCCTTATCACCTCATACTTACAGTATTTTAGCCATTTCTACCTATAGTTAAAATAGCTTTTCCTGTCTGCCCGATGTCAAGTGGCTCCCAATGGCCTATGTGGCATCTAAGGCTCAGGGTCCCCATCTATTCTTTCAAAACGTGAAAGAAAACATCTACTGGACACTTACTCAATGAGAGGCACTGTGCAAGAGTATTTCCTATATTTTAATTTAATAATCACAACATTGTGCAGTGGATAATACCTCTATTGTACGGAGGAGGCACTGGAAGCATAAAAAGTAACTATGCCTGATGTCATATAGCTACAAAGTCGCAGGGCTGATATACAATGCCAGGTAGAACTAGCTCTCAACCACTGTACTATGTCTAAGTGCTGACACTTACTGAAATTTTAAAGCTTTACAAATATTATCTCATTGGATCCTTACAACAATGAGGACCTGTCCACATTATTATTCTCATCTTACAAAGAGAAAAAGCAGAGAAATTAGGTAATATTCGTAGTTCGTAAAGAAGTGGCCATGGGAGACTTAAACCAAGGGCATCAGATAAGTTTTGGACCTGGATGCTATGTCTAAAAACCAGAAAAAAAAGTCAGAATAATCCTCAATTGAGAAACGATGATGATAAAGTACTAATAGACACTGTCAGTATATACATTTATGTGTATACATGTGTACACACATATAGGATGTAAAAAAGAGCTAGTAGAATATATCTCGTCTCATACACTCTTCATGCTGCTAAAATGGAATATCATAAACTAGGTGGCTATAAACAACATAAATTTATTTCTCACAGTTCTGGAGGCTGAAAGTAGGAGATCAGGCTGAGTTCTGATGGGGGTCTTATTCTGGGCTGCAGACTGCATTTTCTCCTTATATCCTCAGGGCAGATGAGGAGAGAGCTCATTGGGCTCTATAAGCGCACTAATTCCATTCGTTCAAGCTCCACTCTCAAGACCTAATCACCTCCCAAATGCCCCACCTTCTAATACCATTATCATGGGGGACAGAATTTCACATATGAATTTGGAGGGGTGGAATACATATTCAGTCCATAACACACACCTCCTTCCAATTGTTTGCTGGTAAAATTCGATTCAAAATTATAGTGGGAAAAAAACAACAAAAAATCTGATCTCATGAACCCCCAAATTCAAAATGATCAATTGTCATAAACTCTTCAACGTTCTGAGGGTTTAGCTAATGGCTTTATGTATTCTTGTTTCCCTTTCCAAAAATAACTAAAAACCTGCAGCACTTTCAAGTACTTAATTTCCCATGTCATTTTTACAGGAAAGTGATTAATAACCTTTTCTTCAAAGACATTTCCTCCAAGGCCTTAAGAACCACGCAGAAGACGAGTCACAACTCCCAGAAGTTGGGGAGAGGGCAGAACACAGGAAGGGACGCCTCCAGGAGGTGGGCGGAGGGGCTCCAGCCGACCCAGAGTGGGGAGGGGGCAGGAGAGACGAGGGGACGTCCCTAGAGCTCGGCCATACGGCGAATTCCCGGCCTAGCTCCGTTTCCATACCTGCTGAGGGGACGAGATGAGGAGGCAAGAGGGAGAGAAAGCGAGGAGAAGTAAAGGAGAGAGGGGCGAGAGGCACGGGAGAAGCGGCGACCGCCTTACCTCAGAAGCCGCAGGCCCGAGGGAGGGGCCCTCGGCGCCGCTGCGGACTCCGGCGCTCCTGGAGCGTAGGTCTTCGAGGGCGGCGGAGCAGGAAGGCTAGTGTCCCGGCGGGCAGTGGCTGTTCCCCCGAAGTCGCTGGCAAACAACCCTGAACCAGGTCACGCCTCAGCGCCCCGCCGCCACCGCGGGCCAGAGGGAGGGGTCGCGGCGCAGTGACTCTCGGTACGGGGCAGGCCAACAGCACTCCGGCCCTGGGGCTTATTGTTCCGGGAAGTCGCAGGCAAGGTCCAGCCGGGTCGGAGGACTGCGGGGCGCCCCTCCCGCCCCTCCCGCTCCGGCCTGAGGTCGACTTGCAGCTGCCGGCGCGCCGACTGGTGGCGGCCCCGCGGCGGGTGTGT